TTTCAATATCTTTGAATGTAGAGTGTGGACGTATTGCGTAAACTTTCGTTCTTGCTAGACGAATAAAAGTATTTCTTCAGATAAAAATATGTAAGTTAAATATAAACATTTATTGTTATTATTGTTCGAGGGAAATACGATTTCCGTTATAGGCCTCTCAAAAATCAAACATAGCGTGATCGTGATGTTTATCAACGTATTTTGCATATAATCGAAATGGATTTTTTTGTAGTTTTTTTTTTCAAACAAAATATCACATCTAGAAATGCCATCGTAAATTCAAAACTAAAATATAGATAATAAAGTGTATTAAATAAAATAAAAATTATTATATTGTACTTGTACTGATTTCGAATTTAAAATTCATCATGGGGTATATACACAGTCAATAGAGATGCGATTTTATTGTTTTTAATATTTACCTGATGATGAATTTTTAATTCGAAACTGTTCGTACATCAAAAATATAATAATATTCCAGTATAAGCATTTATTTATTTATTGAAAACATAGATCCAAGAAGGTTTTGAACTTAACGACGTTTCTGAAATTTAACCATTGGATTATTTCAATCCATAAGCTCTAACAAGTTTAAAAATCATACTACATAGTTATAATATTTACTGTTTGAAATAAGTATTATCAGTAACATACTTTTTGGATGGTTAAAAACAGCTGTTATATCCAACGATACGAATTTTTTTTTATATATTTAACCATCGTTTTTATTTAATCACGTGACCGTCGAGGAATAATCAAGAATGACATTCAAAAGTATTATTAATACTATTTCCAGCAACTATTTGTATGTTTATTCATATCATTATATCTTTATGGAACATAAACAAATTCAATGCTCAGAATTTTTATATTTTTTCATAGTAATATCACATAAAATGTTGTTCGTTGTAAAAGTGTTATTCACGGTCAAGTAAACTCACTTACCACACTACAATACAACCTATTGTATATCAAACCTCTTTAATAGGTAGTATTACTTTAAATATTTAAAAACCTCATTTTAGACCAACAAACAAAATAGTGCATTCATGTTTGAATTTATTCGAATTATGATTATCAAAATACGATGTATAAATAACAAATTCAATCATTTACGAATCGGATTATTATTTTCTGAAGCAATCAATATAATGTATTTGTTTAACAACTATTATGTTCACCGTTTTGTTGTTTTTAAAGTTTACTATTTGATTTTTGAACAATTTCCTCATTTTTTTTAGTTTTATATACATACTACATTCTCTGAGATAATTATCGTACGAGAAATAGAGGAATTTCTGTAAGTATTTTTTTTTTTTTAGAAATCGTTAACATTTTTTTTCGAATTAGCCACAGAATTATAATCGTTATTTTACTATGTTTTAAAATATTCGAATCTTAAGCATGCTTTGATTTCTAGTCGTCGAAATTATTTTTACAATTTCCATACTGCATACTTGCAGATATTTATCCTATACACCCTTGACTTAATAAATTAATGTTAAAAAGGTACATCAATAAGATAATTATATTGATAAGACTAAGTTCAGTTACTATATTTCAAAAACGCATGCTAATAATTAAACATTCACTGAACTGGATATATTTTGTATTATTCTACTACCTCATCAGCTGTAGATATTTGATTAATGAATTTTTGAAAGTTAATCGAAAGTTTCAATCTTTTTACATGAAATAATTTAGCATTATCACAATTATTTTGGTTTTTGAAAAATTAACGGAATACGATTCTTTTGCCGGTCTATATTTACGGAGTAACACTCCATAAAAGCAAAGCACACTGTGATTTACATGTATGAATTAAAAATGAAGTTTTAAAACCATCTGAATGTAATAAATCTAAGGGATTAGTATCGAAATGTTGTAATTTAAATATTCGTGTGTTGTGAGAGAATAAAAAAAAAATTACTTCGTCCGGTGTTCTAACTCCAGTCATTATACTTAGCCCACGAAACAGCTGATATTTCAATGAAAAAATACAACACCCATAATATGTAAAGTAGGTATTTATTTTAACACTTAATGATGTAAACGAAAATTCATTTTTATTATCTTGATGTAACCAACGTTATTTAATAATTTAATACTAAAGAGTAATAATTTATTAATTAAACCCATATGAGATTATCAAATTTACATTTAACATTAGTATATAAAATACAATTATTAGTTAGGTATAATAAAATTTGAATACATCAATTTATATTGATAAATTGATATATATATAAGTACATACATTTTTTACTTACATATTTTAAATAAATATAACGAGTATTACGTAATTTCATTCAAATAATTATTCTAAATGATTGTTTGATTATTTAGGAATATTTTTATAGTATATTTTAAATAATTAACGTTAAAAAAAATTAATCGTATATCAATTTTGAATTTGGTAAAATCAACATAGAAAATGTATGGGTACTAATATAATAATTTAATGTAATATATTAATTTAAACATTTTGAATTTTATCTTATATTTCGTTTTTTTGAAAACCGTGATATTTATTAATATTTACAAGGTAAGAATATACATAAACGTTGTGTTAAATTAAGTTGCAGTTTGTTATTCGTATATGTAGCATGTATGAAAGTGGCGTTTGCACGTAAACGCGTGTGAGTGAATTTGGGGTTCAGATTTCATTATATCATCGACGGAATCGCATTGAAAATAGCATCAATATGTAATGTATCCAAAACGTATTAAATTAGCAACGGAATTTATCATAACATAATACCGTGTTCGACGTGGGCATATGCATTATGCATTTGAATTAATTCAAAATTTCCCTCGAGACCATCTTTCCCTCCCTTGAGTCATTTTCCCACAAGTATGACATATATACCTCTGTGTATTGTTATTATTATTATTTTTTTTTCACCAATAATTTCATCCATTTTAGAGCATATATATTGATCTAAATTTATGATATACGAATTTTTTTTTTCATTTACTTTTACACGAATGGGTTATTTTTGGTTGAACATCGTTGTAACTGATGATGGCGGGTGAGTTCACGCTCATGGAAAAAGAAATAAAAAAAAAAAAATCAATTATTTCATCATGGCCATGTCCGTAGTTTTTTCACGATAATCGCTGGCAAACGAACAAAAAATAAAAATTGAAAAAGAACAAAATCGTACGCACGCCCACATGAGTATACGTACTTTTGGCTGGTTGGGTTTTTCATCGTTGTATCCCCGGTGGAATTTGAATTTTTGAGTTAAAGAACCCCCGAAGTTTTACGACCTCATAAATCTTTGGAAATTATATGGTGGCTCGTAGCAGGGATTGCGGAAAAAAACAACATTTATTTCCTAAAACAATATTTATATGTACATCGGAGCAAAGGAGAAGGAGGAACATAGGCGAGCGAGTTAGAAGGATAGTGAAAACCCCCTGTGACGGAAAAATGATAACCCACCATAACATTAGCGGAGATTGTTGAGTAAGGAGAAAATGAATGAATGAAAGAGAGAGCAAGTGATAGAGAAAGAGAGTGAAAGTATTGAGCGGAAGAGAAGCGGCAATGACAGCGGTCGTCTCCCCTCGAAAACTTGAAGAAGAACAGCAGAAGACTTGCCAAATGTACTCACAGAGAAAGTTTATTCGCGCGTTTTCATTCGTGTGGATAATTCGCCGGAGGAAACCGCCATTCCACACGGACAATTTGCTAATTGGTTGCGTGTCCGAGTACACTTTGTTTAATGTAAATACAACTTTTATTGTCGGGCCAATATGCAACTAATGCCACTATCGGTGAGGTTAACCATGCGGTTAAGGTCAAACCGTACCCACTAGTGTATACGATCTCGATAGATTTAATTTCACCTATTGTATGCCGCCGTCGCCCCTTTTACGTGCTCCGCTGCTGAACCGAATAAAAATAAATAAATAAATAAATAAACGAATGCGCGCACGTGTGTATGTGTATAGTAATTGACAACCAATCGCCCGTATTGTATTGTTTTTCCCACCCTGGCTGCGCCTGCGTTATTTTCTATACGCGTACACTGTAATCTCAAATGGCCCATGGAGTAGGATATAGTAAGCCCCCGGGGGTGATGTTGGTGAAATTACCTTATGTCACAAACATGTACGAGAATGAAACCGTTGGCTCCATAAATGAATTCTGCGCATCGGTGGTTGTCTTTCGTTCGACGGATGGAGTCTTACTTATGCGCTAAAAACAAGTTAAACCGCTGTGATTTTTATCCGGTGCACTTTTTAATCCAACCGTCCCAAATGAGTCCAATCCAATTATTCTCGGCGCAAGATACGTGAATATTATACTAATATCGTACTCCTCATTCGGCACGAATCAAGTTGATTTAAATAAAAATCATTACCTCGTTTACCTCATTTACTGTAAATAACATGTACGCCCGATTCGAGAAATTAGTCGATATATTTATTTATCTAGTGGTCATCGACTCAAAGAAATTTTCAATTTTTTTCGTTTTTAACGGAAAATTAAATAACTGCTTTTACTTAACAAAACACGAATATATTTTCTTCATTGCGTTAGTGATTGACGTTTGCTTTTTGAAACTTCTTGCCTTTGCTATGCTCTGTTTGACTTCAAAATACTAGCGAGAAATGAGAATTACTTCCAACTGTATAACAGGTGTATCTATTGTCTTACAAGTTTTGACATAATTGTCAACGCATAAATTAAATATGGGAAGTGAATCTGTGTACAACTAGTATAGAAGCTCGGTAGTGTGTCAAATCGACGTTATGATAAGTGGATATGCAAAGAAAATTATTCCTTAACAATAACCTGCAAGGTCGCAAAATATTAGTGGTCAGACTTTCGTCGTTCAAAATCATCGCGATAACAATAACGACTATTGAATACCAAATTGCGATATAAATGATAATACATTATCAATTAGTTTCACGACTGATTAAAATTATTAAAATTATGGATTGTTCTTAATTTATTTGTCATGTTTGTATTGTTTGTATTTCAGCCAACACTAAACCACTAACGTTTGACGAAGTATACAATCAATCTAGTCCGACCAATTGTACCGTGTATTGTGGTGGATTGACCAGTGGACTCACGGATGAACTGGTACAAAAAACATTCGCTCCATTTGGCAACATTCAAGAAATAAGGGTCTTCAAAGACAAGGGTTACGCATTTGTTCGGTGAGTAAGGCTTTAAAATAAATAAATATAATGGTTTTCATATACTTGAATGTGATTAGAGTAATGAGGGTAATATAAACATCATCGTATCTGAGTGAGTAAAATCAAATCTAAAGTGATTATTGCAATCAAATCCTTTGTAAAAATATTGTAATTGTATTGTTTCGAGTACCGTTTCAACAGTTTAGTAGTAAACGTTTTTAGGATTATTGATTTTTTACAAATTGTCTGCTATTATCGTTTCACTTGTATTTTTTAGTCAAAAATAGAAGAAAAAACGAATCATTTGTGCTTTAATCGGTTAATAAACCTACATTTAAAAAATATCGATTTTGAGTAAATCTGGACCCAAGATCAGCAGAATGGAGGTAAAGCGACACATATAATAACTGATTTAATTATTCATACGCCCATGATAGGTAGAAAGGTTTACGTTCCCAATGAAAACATAACGATGAACATTCTATCTCAGCCTCTCTTGTCGACAGTTGTTCTCTTAATGTAATGAATAAAACTAATAGTATAAATAATATATATGTCTGTGTATATTGTGTGTTGAATACTCCTGTGCAATAGGAGGTGGGACTTCAGAAGTTTAGACTATATTCACAATAACTGGTAAATCATTAACCCGTGCATTCGGCATCATTCCAACCTCATCTACATAAATTAACTATTTTCCCGCCCAAAAGCCCGTAGTGAGAATACCTCTATGTTATATTGTCCGTGTTGTTGGGATCGTCTGACGCCAACGCGTGTTATCGACAATGAACCTAATTGCATTTTATTATACAATTGACCTCGTGTTTATGAAGATAATTTTCTAAATGATCCAAATCACTATGGATAAATCGATTTTTTTAATTAAATAAAACGCTTATAACCAATATTTATTCGTACAAAAAATGAACAACGTTTGCGAAGTCATTGTTTTATAGTATTATGTATATACATTTCGTATTTGTGTTATCAAACAAAAACAATCAATCCTTGGAATGAATAACCTAGCAAATTAATTATCTTAAAGTTCTATGATTATAATATTTTATGAATTAACAGGAATTATTATTATTATTATTTTTTTTCTTTAAAAATGTAGTTTTAAATTTAATTATAACATATAATTTAATGGTTTTAATTTAAAGAAATGTATAAAAATAAGTTTGATTTTTTTTAATGCATTTCAGAGGCATATACTAACCTAATTATTTGATTTATTTAAATAATACTTTCAACTTCAATATTTTTTAATTAATCTAATTATTAAACCTTATAACAAAGTACTCAAAATCGTTACCCTCTTGGACATACATACAGTATTGTAAATCAATATTTATTACAATGGCTTCATTATAATTTTAATCTACAGGTCCATCTTTATATATCTATAAGTTTATTCGCTATTCATAAGATACGAGTGTGTACAAGACTTTCTACTAATATTATTTTATAAATTCTGAAAGAAATATATAATATTTTTTTAACATTTTTTTTATGATACTTAAATTATATTGATTAAATAGTTAAGTTGCCAACCCCCCCCCCCCCAATATATGTATCACTTGCACAACTATATTTACCACACTTTTGGGTACATTCAATTGTAAACTTATCTCGAGGGAAAGTCGTAGATTTCTCTAATCTTTTATCTCCGTGCATACATCCATACTTCGAAAATGATATCTCCATAAAACCATATTTTTGAACGCCGTAGCCTGTTTGAATTACTTATATGACATCGGGAAAAACTCAATTCGTATTTTATAGCGACCCAGTCGTTCACGTATTTAATGTACAAAGTTTTATGTGTTATTCTATGCGATATTAAACCCGTAGAATCGGTGAGTAATAAAACGTTTGGTCCCCATCATTCATTATGTGGGACATAAGACTTCGAAAGGAAAGATAAAAAAAATACATTCCTAACTTCACTTAGAACCTAAAAAAAGTATATATCTCCATCAACATACTTGTTGTGTCCTTTTCGTATTCGTATTTTTCAATTTTACGTTAGAAAAATAAATGTACACATACACACACGCATGCATGTGCATCACGTACGCACACATACTAACGTTTACGCATACATACTTACATTTACAGACCATTGAAGATTACTGCGTTTTTGTTTCCGTAATGTCTTAAAACATTGCAAAAAGGTAATATTTGTTTTCTCTGGTTGGCTCCGCAAGAGTTCCAGCCCACTGGCTACTTAGGAGCTTAAAATATTCATTCGTTTCAAGACTTCAGCATCCGTGCCGAGTTGATAAAGTTCGTTACCTTGTTTACAGTAGTGATATAGATCGGACTGTGTTAACAAGCTGAAATGTATATACATATGGTATATATGTATATATGTGTATATATATATATATATATATATATATATATATATAGACGGACACATACACACATTACCTACATACTTGCTAGTATATACTTAAATGTACATCTACAACGACCCAATACCTTTGGTGAAGATGGAAGGTCATTGGAGGGACTGAGTTTGAAGAGAAAGGGGAGAGGTTGTGCTGGACGGGTATCTTTCCCCTTGGACTGTTCCTATGTATGTGCCTTTTATCCAGCGAATTGTAAACGGATTAAGAATGTATCCCCAATTCTGATATAGGTATGTGAAACGTATACATGAGTGTGTATGTATCCATTATTAAACATATACTTTATTTTCGGGCAACTATTTTCACAAATGCTAAGTGGAGAAGGGAAAAACACTAGAAAAATAGAGTCCTCAATATTTAAGGAACTTTAATTAAAAATGTATCTCTAAATATACGACGTATGTGTAAATAGATATTCAAAAATCATTTTTCGTATTGTGTTTTTTCAGATTTGCCACCAAAGAATCAGCCACTCACGCTATAGTGGCTGTTCACAATTCGGACATCAACGGGCAACCGGTCAAGTGCTCGTGGGGCAAAGAGTCCGGTGAACCAATCGTATCGCAAAACGCTTCACAAGTGTGCTCATCTCAGGTGAGTTTGACAAAATAATATCGTGCGCTAATAAGTTTGCGTTTCTCGTTATTTAACATTTCATCACATTGTAAACAAGCATTACTTTAACCGTTATCTTTATTCTTTTGTATTCTAGGCAGCGCTCAGTAGCACACAATTTCCGTATACTGCTGCGGCGTATGGCCAACAACTGGGTTACTGGTACCCGCAGAGCTATCCAGCCACACAGTTACAAGGTCAGTTCCTACAAGGCGTCCAAGGTTATACGTATGGACAGTTTGGTTACCAACAAGGTTATCTCGGGTAAGTCAATCAGTAGATAAGTGTTTCTCAACCTTTTTAACGCTGTGACCTCAAAATAGATATAAATTAAAATAAATAAATTCACAAACAACTTTCCTCCTATTATAATAAAAACTAATTTAAAATTGTATCAGTTTTACCGATTACTAAATATATTATTAACCAAAACAAATAACTAGTATAAAAGTAAACATTAGTTCCATTCGCAAATGTTTTTTTTATAATATATATATATAAAATACTTATCTTCTAAGGCAGTGTTTCCCAACTTCTTTTACCCGCGGAACCTTAACAGGAGATTGAACGTTTTGTGGAACCCAATATTTTTTTTATAATATTAATACAGACATATGCTTTGTATACTTAAATGAGTGGGTTACTGGACACTTCCGGCACAAGAGTATCATTAATATAAAAAAAACAAGGCGGCTTTAAAATTTTATTTTGTTTATTACTATTACAATATTATAAATGTACTCATACATATCAAAGCTTAAAATTTAATATTTATCTCTCATTACCTCTAAGATAGATTCAATGAGAAGATTGGAATTTTTTCATAACTGTTTTTAAATTTGGAGTTATTCCTGAAAGTTGGATTCGTAAGTCTGAAGCCGCGTTCAGTTGATTTTGAAACTTATTCTTAGTCTTTGTATACGCCGAAAAGCTACAAACTACGCACCACACATCGGGAAATGTGTCAATTCCAGTTCTATATTGAGTTCTATGTTCAAATCAATATATTGCTTATTAATTTATATTTTCCTAAATTTCTCACGGAATCCTTAGGTTCTGCGGAACACCAGTTGGGAAACACTGTTCTAAGGTGGCATTATAAACTAAATGCAAAAATCGTTAGAAAATAATTTACTTCTGTCTAACATACTTTTAAATATAAAACAATCACAGATATGACATTAATTTATATATATTTTCTTTGTTATTCATAGTTTGTAGTGTTATTATGCTATCAACTTTTTATTCTTATCATCATGGTTTTATATATATTTATTTTTTATTTTTAATGTAAATAAAAGGTTGTTTTTCAACATTAGAGTTTAATTGCTTCTAGCCGATACAACCTTCGGTTGAGAAATTCTGCACTAAATCACATTTTTTAACCGATAATCCATCGACCCTCACATGACCCCTGTAGGTGGTTGCTCGAATGTCTTAACTACTTATTTATATTTTACAACTGTAATAAAACGGAAGTTAGATCATAAACTAACTACTGAAAAGTCTAATGATAATTAAATATTTTTAGATTCATTTTTTGAAATTCTATTAATTTAATAATATTTTTTGACAAGTAATATTCAATCATATTAACTCTTAATTTTCTCGTATAATACTACTACTGACTAGTTTTTCTTGTTTTACACATAAAGATTAATTCAATGTAAGTAAATAAATAATTATCGATCAAATTTTATTTTTACATGATTTTAAATGTTGAAACCTATATATAATATTTTTCAAAACAAAATAATATACTATATAGTATATATGATATACTATCAAATATTAACAGCAATTAAAAAAAAGTATAAAACTTACTTGGCTATCAGTATTTTATGTTTGTCATATTTTTCTCATACGTTCGATACAAATAATTAGTATTATTTTTATAAAAAATACCGGGTATTTATTTTTAACTCTTAGTTTTAAAAAATAAATATAAACATGTATCATATATACCTAATATTATAATTCAAACTATTCAGAATTGTGTTTTTAATGATTAATTGTTCTTTAAGAATATATAAAAACTGTACGATTCTTAAATTCATTCTTATTATTTATATATCTATATTGTAAATCGTTCATAAGATATCTTTCCTATGGAAAGACTCCAAATAGTTGGGAGAAAGGCGAAGATGAAGAAGTGGTAGATATGTACGATATCTTTATTTTAATACCATGTAATCTATAAACTTACTTTCAATATTTGTTCTACAATTAAAGCACTAACACTTAGTCAGTGTACATTGTATAATCATATTTTTAAAATAGTTCTGAATTAAATCTATTACTTACAAAAATTATTTAAGAAACTAATTTATAAAATAAACATCTTACGTTAAAAGTTCATAGCATTATTAGTTCATAATAAAACAAAGTTCGGAGAATGAATAGTTGATGATACTTGCCAAAAATTCAGTTTTGGTATAGAACGTTTTAAAATAAACTATTTTAGTTTCAATTTCTTCTGAAAAATTATAAATTCTTGTTATTTTTTTTTTAAAAAAGTAATTATTTTCCATTTTATTCCACGAAAAAAGTTAAAATAATAACGTGAAGTTTCTCATTATTATCCGAAAACTATCGGTTCTGTGGATTGAATCATTTTACTACCGTAAAATATACTACCGTATATTTAAATTATCGATTGAATTTGATCGAATAAAATAAAAAGTATATCGAAAAAGGAATTTATTGTTATTATATTGAAAAAAAAAATTAACAGACACTTCACACACTCGTTCTTGCTTTTGTTTTTGCTTCGGCAGGCAGAATTTACCGAGCTTGGTTTATATGAAAATTTGTTCTTGAAATCCTTAAATTCAAATCGTACTGATTTTGAGGATTTAATTGGAGAAAACGATTATAGTGTTCACCACAAAATTCACATTCGTATTATTAAGAGGTGATCAGGTTCCATACAAAAGATAACGGTATCTCCCCCAAAACAGTATTGACATAAAAAGTTTTGGGGTGAATTTGTGAAAATTACCATGCATTTAGGCGAATAAGCATAATGCGTTAGGGTGAATAATTATAAAACGTTGCAGGGCATTTAGACAACCATTTTTTTCTTCTCTTTTTAATACACTATTATGCATTCAAAATATACATATTGTCCCTCGTTAATTATAATTTATAAATAACAATCAAAAGAAATTACATATTATTACTATACTGTTTCTCGAAACTACTACGTATTCATATAAAGTTGGAACCAAATAAATGGAATAATATAATCTTGGTTTGGTGTTTCTACTAAATATAACATTCACTCGCAATGAAAATAATTTTTCCCCGGCTTTATTCAACAAATTATTCGACTATCTTAGACCAAACTACCTACTAGTCATTTATAAGGAGCTCGATGCATGGTTATGTGCATGACTTAAAAACATTTTACTAACCCATTCATGAGCTGGTCTAAATTACTGGTGTAAAGACGATTACGTGACACCATATCCATCTCGTACGCGGTCCGTTTTTTCATAGACCGTACCAGACCAATAAAACAATAATGACATCCAACCGGATATAATCCCATATTCTAATTCATTTATTTACCATATAAAATAAAATAAAAATATATTCATTGCACCAGACTGTCCAAACGAGCGTTTCTCGACCTATGAATCGTAAACCAATTTTAAATCGCGAATAATTTTAAATAGATCGTCAATTATTAAAATGTTGTTATATAGTATTTTAGTTTTAAACTACCTTTATCGAATTTTCGAGACAAAATTAATATTATTCTAAAATTATTGTCCTAGACCTAACAAGTATAAATTCAGCAATTGGTCTTTCCAAGCTCTTTATCAGTTGATATTCATGGAATCAGTTAAATTTGATAAGTTGTTGACGAGAAATCGATCTTTATTTTTCTTGGTATCAATGTCATGAACTTCACTACTTATGATTTCAAAAATAATTAAGAAGTAACAGTTTCTTTTATTTATGGCCCACTATTGACCAAATTATTTTCCAAAAGGTTGCATTGTCGCTAAACTTATGGTTGCTGATTTTACGTTGAGAATGTATCTGATCGGTTTGTTTTAAATCCTAATAGACCACGGGGAAAAAAAATATATTTCCTACCGGTCCCTTAAGAACTTCACTGTAAAAATACTTAAAACACCGGGTCGCGCAGAGATCTTTGACCAGCGTCCGGTCTCGGTGACAGAGTACCTGACAAAATTGTTTTTGCTTGTTGTTTTCGCAGCCGGATGGGAATGCAAGCGCTGCCGACGGGAGCGACGACCGCGTGGACTCAACCGGGAGCCCTGCAGCCAGGCCAGCAGATCGCGTCCGCCGTGGCCGCTCAACAATCGGCTCCGGCACCGGCACCGCCGCCCGCCGCCACGGCAATGATCCCGGCCTATCCGACGCTCCACCAGTTTCAGGTAAAACAACACCCCGCACCGGTGCAGGCGTCCGCGTGGCCCATGTACGACCACCTGCACCACCATCACCACCACCTCCACCACCAGCACCACGGTGGTTACGAGGCAAACGAGCTATCCATACTGAAAATGGCCACCTCGTGATCACTGACCTCCATCGTCGCCGCCTCCGTAGCCACCAACGTTTATGCCCACCGGCTCGACAGACTATCCAACAAAACTGTATTTATTGACGTGATCTGGCCCCCACACCATGGCTTCATGGTCCCCTATTTTCGGGTTCTCCTTTTCGACGGTAGACTTTTTTTTAAACAAATTGACGCAATATTTCATTTTGTCTTCACGCGCGCGTTTTTCTCGTCCCTTCGCTCTTGCCACAAAGGCCGTGGTGTTTTCGACCTAACTATACTAACTCTTACTACCTATCACGCGCAAACGTTATTTTTATTTTTATGATTTTTTTCTTTCTATTTATTTATTTATTTATTTATTATTATTATGAATGATACCACACGATATCCGACTTGAATGAGTCGCATCGGTATCCTATTAGATTATTACTATTACTATTATTATTATTATTATTATTATTATTATTATTATTATTATTATCATTATTATTATTATTATCATTATTATTATTATTATTATTATTATTGTCTATTATGGTTTATTTGCAATTTATCAAACACGATTTGCATATAGTTTTGATAAAATGTATAGTTAAATTTGTAGCTCAAAATGCTCTTGACGTTATTATTTATAATTTCAACAGAATTTTTTTTTTTTTTTTTTTAATTTTTATTTTAGTTATTTTGATATTGTTATAAAGCGAAAATTCGGTAAACCCCACGTATCCCATTTGATCTAAACTGTCTTGTGAACGCATTTGAGTGTGTTTAGGTTTGCACAGGAAATAGATTCGTGTCTCTATAAAGTTACTGCCTACTGCCCTTTACAATTTATCATTTGCTGTTATACATTGACAAACTTCAACGTCAAAAATTGTAATAATATTATATTTTCTTACATACACTCCGGAAAATGTATATATTACACGTTTAATTACGTACACTTTAATCATTATTTTTTCATTTCTTTTTTTTATCAATTTATATGACAATAATCTTCGTATGTGCGAACAATTGACAAATACAGTGTTCATTTCAATTACGAATCAAACGGATTGTTTGTTTTCTTCGTTTTATCAAATCTGAAAACACACAAATGCGGAACATCCGTCGTTGATTTGTTACTCCCGGAAACATCATAAAACCAAAATATATTGTATGACGTGTTCAAGCACGTTAAGGCATAAAACATTGCGTGTAAAAAAACATTCCTCATGCTTATACACAAAAATAATGATAACACACGCTCAATCATGTTGATTATTCACACGTACGATGTAATAATATATAAGGGCACTATATATGGTTTGCAGATAGCCGACGAAGAATGGCTTACGCCGAGCCTGCTGGTCTGAGGATGACTGAATCCTGGAGCCCAAAAACGCGATACGATAATTCTTCCAAACTCCGCCTTCTGCTACACACATAGTCAAGCCAATCAAAATTACAATGCCCCGAAAACCCTGTCAACGTACCAAACGAATTGTAAATAAATCAATATGGGGCATCGAAATTCAAAAGCGAAAAAAACCAATATTCTATTTAATATGGACCGGTATATTAATGTGTTATTGTTCGTTTGTACGTGTTGAATCCTCGATGGGCTGCATTCAGTATTAAAAATTAGATCGCTAACCAATTAAAAAAACTTAACATATCATCGACACAAGTGATGAAGAATTGTGATAAAATCGATAATTAAACCAATAAAAAAAAAATAAAAAAAAAATAAAAATATTAAGTTATATATAAATATATATAGTAGAGAAAGTTAACAAAAAATAAACTGAATTGTGCTTATATGCTCAAAATGAAAATAATACTTAAAGTAACTACTAATCAATTCTATAATGAAAACTATTTAAAAGTGTAGATTTTTTCGAATTCTTTTCGATTGCCAAACAATTTTTTATACTGAATAAATCGATATATTTTTATTCATCTGATTTCTGTAATTTTTTTTTTTTTTTCATTCACATGATAGAATATTAATGAAGCATTTCGTATATGGCTCCAGAGAACAAAAGTGTTAATATAATCGAACTATTATATTACACACACAAACACACGCATACACACCCACATACATACATACATCATGTACACACCAACCGTGAGTACCATGTCTGTATGTATGTAAATAATATTTAATCGATAGCGATCATTCGCTCAATTTATAATATTAAATATAGACACAACGTACTATTATTATTGTTATTATTATTTCGCAGTGTAATTTCGCTACGTTTTGCTATTTTAGCCAACTTTTGTAAATATAAAAATAATATACTTTTATAGCGAGCTGTTTTCATTTTTATAGAGTGTTATAATATGATTACATTATTTGTTGTGTTATGTTTGTCAGTTTTTGGTATAACTATATGATAATATTATTATTGAATCGTATCTCTTCTAAAAGGAAAAAGAAAATCAATTATACGATTAATCTCGTCCGGTAGTTTTGTTTGTACAAATGCCCAAGATCTTCGCTTCGAGTATTCCCCACCGAAATCATTTCCTGTGCTCAATACACTCACATTTCAAACCACCGTTTGTCTGCCGATTTAAATCACTGTTTTTTTTTAAAAAAAGAATATGTATATATATATATATATATATATATATATATATATATTTATCTATAAATAATGACTCAGAAGTCGTGTTGATGGATTTTCTCTATGACTCCTTAGGATAAATGGTTCTACTAATAAGAATATAATCTATGTAAATTAAAGTGTGCCATGTTGTAGTAAATTTTTTGATAGTAACAATGAAGTTAAATGATTAGATGGGAAACGTGCATAGGCCGAATGGTAGCTATCTGGTAGTTTTATAAAATTAAAAATTAACATAATATAACTAAAATTTATATTATATATGTATAATTACACAAATACATATAAATATATATGTATATGTATATACATAATTTTGGGAGAATATTATGTATAAATATAAATAATTAATAACGAAAAGAGCAAAATTACTTATTAAATTAAATGAAAAACCTGTACATAAATAAAATAATTATATAGATTAATGAATAAAAATCCTAGGATAACCAAAGTGTAACGTGTAAGCATAGCATGTAAGTTATACTGGCATTGTACCAGATGAGCTAAGTCATAATAAATTATTATTATTATTATTATTATTATTATTATTATTATTAAATAATAAAAACAATTATGTACATTGTAATGTTTAGGTTAAATTTGCACCACATAATTATTACGACGTTAATATATAATGATATGATTATAGAGTTGAAAAAAAAAACGAAAAAATCGAAAAAATATAAACGAAAATCATTAGTTGTTAGTGTTTTTTAGGATTAATATTATATACTATATTGTAATACATTATAATACATGTTGTGCAAGTATCTTTTAAGTACCAAAAAAAAAAAAAACTTAAATATAAATGTGAAATTAACTATATTGACCATTATATAACGATATGTATATGTAAGGCGATGAGTAACTGTTTTGAATTGTTTCCTGCCAAAATCACTATAATAATAATATAAAAAACATTGCACTATACGTACTTAAAAAATGGACTGTACATCCGAAATTTTATGTAGAACTGGAGGTTATGTCGACGGTAAAAACCGATTATCTTATAAATATATAATAATATGCTTTTAAATCGTTTAGATTTCAGTTTTTATGGTAGTGTTAAATTCAATTTAAATAATAATAAAAAATTTAAATTTTGGAGTACAATCAGGGTGTTCATGTTGTATCTGATAAATTCATTTTTGTATGATTAATAGTTAAATATATATATTATATATATATATATTTAAGTATATATCTTGATAATAATATTATCACCAAGAGCATTAATAATTATATTAAAAAAAAAAAAAAAAAAAAAAAAAATTAAAAATGCATAAATCGCGAGATCTCATATGTGATAAAATAAAGTTATATTCTTGATCTTGTTTTAAACGATATAATGTAAAAAAACTATAACCGAGACGTACATTCCGAATAGTTATTGTGAACATTTAATATTTATTGTAATTATTATTATTATTATTATTATTATAACATTATTGTTATTATGATTGTATTGTGATGTAAAACAAACGATGTAGTATAAATATCCATACTTGTCTATAGGCTTATATAAGTACAATACATTTCAGAAATTTAAATCAGTTACACCTTACACAAATACACCCATACACATGTGCATGTCCACACACAGACACACACACACATATACTCAAACACATACATATATACATACATGCGTGCGTACATACATACATACATACATACATACATACATACATACATACATACATAGTTACAAACAAAAATATATATTCGACCAGTCACACTACACAGCACTTATTCCTGTCAAGTAATTGTCATGATTTTCGTACTAAGACCAAGATATTATTATTTACGTATAGTTATGTATATTATTATTATTATTATTATTATTATATGCTACTATCTAAAATGTGTAGATTTATACGAGTAATAATTATTATAAATATTTTATATGTATATGTACACACACATACACACACACCCACGTGTATATTTTATGTACTGTGTTTAATTATATTTCGTATATCGATTTTTAATAATCAGCAAAACGCGTTTAAAAAGAATAATTAAAAAAATAACTAATTACGATTTAAACTTATATGATACCTCCTAAAGGAGTAACGTTGAAACTATAAAAATAAAGAAAAAAATTGTAATTTATGTTAGTTTATTGATGAAGTGATGAGAGTATTTAGTTACGATTATGTATTAACTTATTTGACGGAATAATGTATGAAAAATATGCAGTACTTATGCCAAAAAAAAAAAAAAAAAAATAATAATTATTATTATTAATAAATAATAAAAATATAATAATAGCAAATGAGTCAATATTAGTTAGATTGTTGCTGAAAATTATTTATACGGTATAATTATTATTATATTAATATAAACCAACACGTGTGTAGATATCAACATGTAATTGTTAATGTTACTATATGGTACATAAATATAATATAGTAATGACAAATATTATTATAAATATTAAGTTATTATAGCGAATAACTGCTAAACATATATAAATAAAAACGTAAAAAAAAATGTTGTGTATAAAAAGCGTTTTTATTTCAACCTTATGCAATAATTTTTTGAATCATTTTCCTTTGATTTTTGTTCGTTTAACACATACACTTACTCATTCATACATACACACTCAATCATAGGTATAAATATATATCTAAAATCAGCGATACGAAGAATGCGAAGGAATTCAATCAGTGATTGAATGATAACATGTTTCCATAATTACAAAACAACGGTAAGTATGCATTTAAATTATTTACACCTTTATAATAATATTATTATAATATCCTGACAAGCATAAACGGCACATCACAACAATTTTACGCACACAGACTATTTAATATACATTTATGACCGAAATAGTTTTGACACGTTTTGTTTGTTACCCCATTGTCTATTTCCCTATACGATCACCCGAGGTGTACAAGATATTGTGGTACAAGCAGTGTTATTCGATTCTTTGTTTATATAGCAATGTATTATGTTGTTAATATATACGATAATCGATCGTTGATGTCTTGTAAAAAATATATATAAAAAAAATAATTTTTCGTTTCACATTCAACTACCGAAAACAAATTGAAAATCAATTCCTTTGTACCTTTGTTCAGAAGGGATTATATTTAAGTAATGAGGGTAGTATATACGGTCGTTTGATTCCTGAGCCGGAGTGAGGTTTCCTTATTCTCGCAGTCCGGAACCCCCGAAAATTCTTACCACACGAAGTGCTGCCGCGTCTATAGTATCGATACTTTCGTTTGCACAGCCCCTGCAGAGTTATATGCGCAGCGCTATGGTTTCCAATAACCACGACGTAAGTAATGTGTTGTACATGAAAACGGTTTTCTCATGTCATCGTAGGTTGAGTTAGGTCAAATACAATATTATAGCACAAAAAAACTTTCTTCGTAAGAACGTCCTTGGCGAACGCGAATAATACAAATAATATCTCGAAACAATGTCCGAAAAGACAGTACGAGTAATAACAACAGTAGGGAATAATATATATTACGTAGGTAAGTATTTGTCTCCTCGGCAGGTGCATTATTTTCCATAACACTGCAACATGCACACAAGAAATAAAATATCACAGAAAAAATATAATTATTATTGAAAACTGATTGAAAAAAAAATAATAATATTTTTCTTTTTCTTTTCTACGCGCAAGTGATGCGATTCAAGCGAATGTTTTGAAGTGTAAAAGGCAGCTCCGTGGCTTAAGTTTCTAAAAAAAAAAGACTAGTGAAATACGTATTAATCGACGACCGACCTGAATGCTCAGGAAATTATTAATTTTACCGTGAAATATTGAATTCGCTGTGAACTTTCTTTCCTCCCCCTTCTCCTCATAAACAAAGAAATACAAAAATATCATCCTTGTACATTGGCCTTTGAGTTAAAATCATCAACACTGGTGGAGGGAGTCAAGTCCCGCATGGAATTACCATAGATAACATTCATACAGCCGCCCCCGTATTACAACATTCACGTAATTATGCATCTGAATAATGCGCTCGTATATTATAATATTCGTTTGATCCATCAGTATCACCGAATTAGTCCTTTATCTTGGTGGATATTTAATTAATATTTTTACAGTTACCGCGGAATGTGGGACATAGTCAAAAATTATTTGAAATTACAGAAAACAATGTACTGACTTCCTGACGCCGTGGCCAAATGCAACCAAAAATTAAAATCATTTATGTTAATTATTACGATAAAATCAATCATTTAACATTTGATTTAGTTTAAAGTTCAATAATAGGATAAGAAAATAGTTTTTTACAGCGATAAAATTGAAATTTTTAATCAGGTAATATTAAATTTTACTAATAATTATTAGTTTGAACACTGATTTACTTACCTAGCTGATTATTTTTATCAACCATAATAATTTTTTGTATTCCATCTTTATGAATAATTGCTGCTGAAAAATAAAAGACGTTAAATAAAAAAATAATATTTACATAAGAATGTTGCGGTGCACAACACCACAAAATAATATATTATAATTATTATAACAACGAAAATACTAATAAAATTAAAATGTAATAAGAAATAATAAGAATGCAGAAGGAACTATATCAAAACAGAAAATAACCAGACTGCTAAACAAAAGTAAAAAGTCCACGATGACGGCTAAAAACACAAACCAGTCAGTCGCTCGTGGCGATCGGCACGCTGTCCACGATCGCTTCGTGACATCGCCGTCTCCAAAACTGGTTCTTTTAGTCGGCGGGCGTCTCGATTGATGATCGAACATACTCTGGTATCAAGGCAAAGGGATGTGACGGGTGAGATCGCGATATCTGTGTGACACCACCGTGTCGATTACACTAAGTATGTACTACGTTAAAAGTTTATTAATAAATGTATAAAATCAAATTTAAAATACATTTCAATTTATTACGCAGGATTTCGTTCAGAATCCTTTTTATCTATCATCAATTTTTAACTTGATTATCAATATCCATAATGGGTTATAGCAACTGTTTTCAACCTATGGTGTGTGTTCCTCTATGGAGACGTGAATATTTTCAAAAAACAACGAAACACAAAGACTTTATTTTTGATTATCAATGTTTAATCGAATATTATTAAGCGGAACTACTAATCAGCGTCAACCCTCACAATTTGTATCTACTTCATGATAATAAATTTAATATTAAAGAAAGTGAATATGGTATGGTTTGTTCTAATAAATTTAACTAATAATAGTATTTTTTTCCTGACAAATAAATAAATTAAGTATTCAAAACAACTTAATTAATTTTATACTATCATTTTTATTCAATAACCAACAAT